TGTGTCCCGTTACATCTGGCGTAAAACCAACACTGCATTTCATAAAAAGAACATCATACCAACAGTCAAACATGGTGGTGGTAGTGTGATGATCTGGGGCTGCTTTGCAGCTTCAGGACCTGGACAACTTGCCATAATTGATGGAACCATGAATTCTGCTCTTTATCAGAAAATCCTGAAGAAGAATGTCCGGCCGTCAGTTTGTGACCTCAAGCTCAAGCGCACTTGGGTTATGCAGCAGGACAACGATCCCAAACACACCAGCAAGTCCACCTCTGAATGGCTCAAGAAAAACAAAATTAAGGTTTTGGAGTGGCCAAGTCAAAGTCTGGACTTAAATCCGATTGAGATGCTGTGGCATGACCTTAAACAGTCCATTCATGCTCGAAAACCCTCCAATGTGGCTGAATTAAAACAATTCTGCAAAGAAGAGTGGGCCAAAATTCCTCCACAGTGATGTGAAGGACTCATTGCCAGTTATCGCAAACGCTTGATTGCAGTTGTTGCTGCAAAGGGTGGCACAACCAGTTATTAGATTTAGGGGGCAATTACTTTTTTCCCGTAGTGCCAGGGAGGTTTGGACAGCTTTTTTTCCTTAATAAATGAAATCATTATTTCAAAACTGCATTTTGTATTTACTCGGGTTATCTTTGTGTAATATTAAAATTTGTTTGATGATCTGAATCATTCAAGTGTGACAAATATGCAAAAAATAAATAAAAAAAAACAGGAAGGGGGCAAAAACCTTTTCACACCGCTGTATCTGTGATATATAACAACCAATTCATACTAGTGATTCAAAAAAGGTCTCTTTTTATTACATTGTGTCGACCTTAATAAGCTTAGGTTTTTCAATGCCACAAACTTCTTCCTCACTGGTTTTGAAAGCACCACAGTGCACAATAGATCACTCTACATTTAGGAATGTAGTGTGCTTACAAGGCCATCTGAAAATGCCTCATTGCCTGTTTGGCTCTAAGGACACGGAGAGAGATGTGGCAGTCCTACAGCCTAATCAAAGGAGATGTGTTAGCTGTAGTATCGATCCATGAAATGCTAAGGCAGACTTCTGGTTTTGTTGTCACGCTGACACGTTTCTAGATGTGAACCTTTCATATGAAGACCATTCTTCTACAAGGCCAAACAACATGCTTTAAGAAATATGTCTTTTAGGAAATGACAAATTGATGGGTGCAAACTGCCTTTAGAGTTTATTATATATTATACTCTATATTATAGAGTATATTCATCCCCTATAAGGCATTTAGTCATTAAACTGAAAATGTCGTGAAAATGCTTTTGTGAAGAAATCAAGAGCCTTCATATACACTGAACAAAATTATAAACGCAACACTTTTGTTTTTGCCCCCATTTTTCATGAGCTGAACTCAAAGATCTAAGACTTTTTCTATGTACACAAAAGGCCTATTTCTCTCAAATATTGTTCACAAATCTGTCTAAATCTGTGTTAGTGAGCACTTCTCCTTTGCCGAGATAATCCATCCACCTCACAGGTGTGGCATATCAAAGTGGACCAACATTCCACAGGCCACAATCAACAACCTGATCAACTCTATGCGAAGGAGATGTGTTGCACTGCGTGAGGTAAATGGTGGTGTCACCAGATACTGACTGGTTTTCGGACCCCCCCAGACCCCCCAATACAGTAAAACTGCACATTTTAGAGTGACCTTTTATTGTGGTCAGCCTAGGGCACACCTGTGCAATAATCATGCTGTCTAATCAGCATCTTGATATGCCACACCTGTGAGGTGGATGGATTATCTCGGCAAAGGAGAAGTGCTCACTAACACAGATTTAGACAGATTTGTGAACAATATTTGAGAGAAATAGGCCTTTTGTGTACATAGAAAAAGTCTTAGAGCTATGAGTTCAGCTCATGAAAAATGGGGGCAAAAACAAAAGTGTTGCGTTTATAATTTTGTTCAGTGTATATATATGTATGTTTAAAAAAAATATTTCTATGGAATATCATTGTTTATGCTATGGTATGGTAAACAGTCTAAAACAGAAATTTACGACATGCTAAGGACACATCACACAGGTTTCATCACAGTTTTGGAAGTCTTATGAGATTGAGGTGTGGAGTGAGATTAAATCCTACAACTGATGAAGCCACTTGGATCAGAGGTGGGACAATAAATTGAAGAACAAACCTAGATGCTCCAGAGTAAATTTTTCTAGACATGCTATTGATGAAGTGATGACCTCTGTCTTTCATCAGAAAGCTATCATGCCTGTGATTTGAGTTGGGGCAGAAGTCCCTCTTCGTGCCATGCATTACCAAAGCAGGTGATACAAAAAAAAAAAAAACCTTGCTAAATCTTCTCTGCAATTTAGCACTGAAGGTCGTTTCATTGCTGGTACTCTAACAGAAGTGATTGCACAGTGGAGAACTTTAAATTTCAATCAGCATAACAAAATCTGCTGTGCACATTGGCACCAAATCAATTCTAATATTAATTTATAAAGATCCGTGTTTGTACAGTGCTGTATTTGTAGAGGACATATAGTGCTATTTAAACATTTACAAATTCTCAGATCCTCTCTCTCAAAGCAGACAAGTGACTGGTTAGAGTATAATTAATAATAAGTTAATTAATAATAATTTAATAATTTATGCATTTAGCAGACGCTTTTATCCAAAGCGACTTAGTGCATTCAGGCTATACATTTTTTTTGCCTTCTCTTTCGATTCAAAAGGAAATGGGACACTGATTGGAGCATCTGCAAATGTGGTGTGTGCTGGGATTGCTGAACAGCATGGCTATGGATTTTCCTTCACGGAGTTCTTCAGGTATTTGTGTTGGGCACACATTTATTCTAGCACAAATTTGATTAAGAAATAGAGACTCTTTTGCGACCAATTGTGATATGAAACTGATCTCAAATTCCATGCTCATTTCCCACTTAAAGAGACGCTCAGTCTCTTACAAAATATAAATTATATTTTAAAGGATATTAAAATAAAACGTCTTGGTTACGTATGTAACCCTCGTTACCTGAAGGAGGGAACGGAGACGTCACATTGGATGACCGATGAATTGGGATCTCGCTTAGAGAGACCAATCTACTTCGAGTGTAAACTAAACGAGCCAATGCACATTGG